TCCAGAAGCTAGGACGCTGGCTCATTTACAGGAGGTGTTGGCCGTGAACGTTCTCCCGGATTTTCCAGTGTGGTTTCCTTTGTCAGTGTTGCAGGACGGATCCCGTGTACAAATTAGCGTGTACAAATTAGAAGCCATAATAAATTAAATTCGGTATAAGAGTAGGCATAATTTTCCTTATAGTACACTGTATAGTGTACACCTGCCTTCATTACCCCAATCGGTTCAGACAAGTTGAGCCTTAACCCCCATTTTATTTCATTCTTATTCAGATTATTTGCGCCATCAATCTATTGTATTACATTTTAAGTGATTTCTTCTGGTAAAGGTTAGATATCTTGGTCTGGACTACTGGCTCATGTTTCTTAAAAATGGTTTCTGCATTGTTATTATACCGTCTCTTTCCAATTATCTTCTGATAGAGTATGATGGATAAGTCTGAAAATCCATTTTATTTCTTCTATATTTTTTGAAATAATATACAAAATTCTACAAAATAATACTCAAATTCCTTTGTTCGTAGTAATTTAATAGCGGGCGCTGATGAATATTGGTTGGCATTTAGATGGCCGTTCTATCAATTTCAACTGTTTTAAAAGGAAAATCGAATTGCTTCTTTTGGGTTATTAAATGGTACAGTGAGTCTCTTGGGAAATGCGGTATGCATATGAATTAGAAATTTGGAATATTCTACACAGGACAATTTTTATGGATGTCCTTCGTTTTATTTTTCAAATCGCGTGGTCCTTGAACTGAATGTCATGAAGTTCATCATCACTGTACACACGATAACCTTCGTTCATTATATGGCTTCTTTTTACGGCGATTATGGAAAATCAGGCGTATCACTGACTTCATTGCTTCTAATTAATTCGTGTATAGTGGAACCCATCAAAGCTACTCTATGTTCTTTTGATGGTGGGCACGGTACTGACCATATATCAAGAACCCGCGTCCAATTAATTATTAGTGTGGCATGAATAGGTTTAGCTACTTACATACACCTTCAGATTGATGTGTCGGGTGGAAACGAATATTTGATTGATTGCAATTCAGTTGACACTCCACTTTTCGTGATATAACATCTACAAGATATTGTATTGTGCCGTCTGCTTTATTATATACCAGCTATAAAGTCTTCAAGCTGTATGGTATTGGCTATCTCTTCTACTTTGTATTCGTGAATTAATATTCCTTTCCCTTTTAGCGATTATATCCTAGGCTTGCCATGGGCGCTGACTGACCTGTCGCCATCAGCTATAGCAATTAGAATTACATGGAAATGGTTCCAAGTTATCAGTCTGCCCGTAACCATTCCATGACTGTGCGATTTTAAGATAAAATTCCTTTGTGTGACGTTTTAGACATTTCAGATCAAATGTTGGTTTGTAAGTTCCGACATGTGACTTATTAAACATTAAAGATCAAAACGAATATAGATTTGTAGTCAGTCAGCTAACATCCAGTGGAACTGTAATTCTGGAAAGTGTTTTACAAGAAACGTGGAGTTAAATTTACAAACTCTTGCACACATAACGTAGGCGACAAAACCAACGCATCAAAGACATGTACTGGTAGCTTTGTGTTGTCATATGTTTTTTATTTTTTGATATACACAAGAATCAAGAGGGTGGATAACAAATCTTAATGAAATATCACGATGGTGTTGATCGCTGTAACATGTTTGTGTCTGTTACAGATATCATGGTTGGTTTGTAAGTTCCGACATGTGACTTATTAAACATTAAAGATCAAAACGAATATGGATTTGTAGTCAGTCAGCTAACATCCAGTGGAATTGTAATTCTGGAAAGTGTTTGACAAGAAACGTGGAGTTAAATTTACAAAATCTTGCACACATAACGTAGGCGACAAAACCAACGGATCAAAGACATGTACTGGTAGCGTTGTGTTGTCATATGTTTTTTATTTTTTGATATACACAAGAATCAAGAGGGTTGATAACAAATCTTAATGAAATGTTTCAGTCTTTCTTGCTCACAAACAGCCCTAAAGCATTTGCGTTTCTTTCTCTGTCTGGTTTATGAGGGCGACTAACATTAAACGACGCCTTCGTGTTTTATGATAAAGCATATAATTTACTATATTGTCAAGTCATGTAGTGATACTCAGTTGGTCACGTCACATATTTTGATGTTACTTTTTGCCTTAAAGGAGAAGTTCAGTCTTTGTAAATTCTTTATATTGTATTCATTATCTGGTATTTAAATGGCTGGTACCTTACTCGACTAGAATTGCAAACGTTTTCAGTGTCGTCGTGAATCTAATTATCATACAAACAAACAAAAAGGCGCCTGTTCTAAAACCTTTATTAGTGCATTCACCACCAGTTTGTAGGCTTAGTCTTGGTTATGATCCGGACTGCTTTTTTCTGAAGTTTCTGAAGTCACTTAATTTTATTGTCAGGTAGATTGTACAAAAGTGAACTACAGTAGTCGAACAGGAACAGACATTAAAAGTTATTACATCTATAATTCTAACAAACAATACATCACACAGGAACATAACAGATTATAGACATTACGGCCATCGTCCTTATATAGGTCTGCTTCCATCGTTCTGTCTTGTACAGCGGTTCCCGTAGCGGTCTCTCAATAAGCTTGTCTCTCGGTAAGCCTGTCTTTTGGTAAGCCTGCCTCTCCCTGTCTGAGTTATGCTTCTACCTGAGATCATTTATAAGGTCAAGTTGTTATCAACAACCTTATTAGTATTTAACAGCCATTCACAAGTTATAATACATATTAGTAGCCTTCATTTAACGGGCCATCATATAATATTATCTAATAATACTGACGTGATGTCTTACTTACTAACTAACTTAATTATTAGATGTGGGATGCACCTGCCTATACTATTGTCTTACAGATATCAGCATTTTTGTCGTGTCACTATCAATGACAGATCTAATCTTTCCAATATTATAAATCTGAAAATTTATACTTTTACACATGGCCGAAATTTGTTTGTTCATTTCCAGATTAGAGTCAAACTAAACACCAAGATCTTTTTACACACTCTGTTGGCGTAACAGGGATATTGCCAATTTGATAGTTCTCTATTTTAGATTATAGTGGTTGCTGCCTGCTGTCGACTTTCATTATATCTGTCTTGTCATCGTTGAGTTTTAATAAATTTGAGTCAATCCATTTACGAATATTTGATAAACAGGCCTCAAATGGTTTAGAAGAAGGCTCAAAAGCTATATAAATTTTGGTGTCGTTTGTGTACAGATGGTAGTTAAGACCGTGTTTGCGAATGACATTTCCTAAAGATGTTCTGTATGTAGCAAATAATAAATGACCGAGAACTGAACCCTGTGGCACGCCGTTGAGTTGGGTGGGAAACCTTTGATAACAGCTGTCTGTGTACGGTTGTCAAGATGTTACTGGAAGAAGGTAAGGGCTAGTCCACTTACACCAAAGTTGTTCAGCAATCTTTTAAAAAGAATTTGGTGGTTTATCGTGTCAAACGCTAATACTGATGTTTGTTTCTTATCCATTTCGTTTAGTTAGTCATTTTGAACACGTAATAAGGTGGTTTCGGTGCTGCGTTGTTTTCTGTATGCAGATTGGAATACTTCATTGAGGTTATTATTATGCAAATGTCTTTTAAATTCGGATGCAACAGCTTTCTCAATAATTTTTGAATGAAAAGAAAGATTAGAAAACCGGTCTGTAATTCTTTATCAAGGCCGAGCTTTTTTAGTAGCGGAAATACTAACGCCTCTTTTAGAACCTCCGGCATACAGCCAGATACCAAAGAGGAATTTACAATATCCGTGAAAGCTGGAACCATCACGTCAAGACACCGTTTTAGTAGCTAAGTAGGAATGGGATCTAGAGTGCACAATGCTGGTGGTGATGCTTTGATGATCTTATTTATATCAAGATTAGATACGGTTCTAAATGTCGAGAGTTGCACACCAGCGTAAGTGTTGCTATCCTGAGAGTCAGAGAGTGGAATTGTTCCAAGACCTGATCGAATAGTTATATCTTTGGTTGTGAAAAAATTAACAAAATCATTTCCCGATTTACTGGGAGAGTCTAAGGCGAAATGGTTGTACACAGAGCTCCGTATTGAGGAAACTATATATTGATAGCCGTTTTTTCTTATTTCATTGACCCAATCGGTGCAGAATAGTAGGTCATTAAACCACATTATCTTTTACTCTATTTTCTTACGGTATTCAATAGCAAATAACACAGAATCTGAAACGGCTTGACTTCTCCTTTAAACATATTGCTTGGCACTAAACCCGGCAAGAAATCCAATAGAGATGACAATGCTTAGGATTAATTAAATTATTGTCGGATCATTAAGGACTAGATATATTAAATTGGATTAAATAGGAAACCCCTCTACAAGATTCAAGGATAAAATACTATTAGATATACATGTTTCTACCGGGTCGTCTTTGGCTTTCATGTGGTTTCTCCAGCTATAAAGTTAATGAATTAATAAACAGTGCCGAAGCCTGCAGCAATGGACACCGCGGGTTTAAAGACGATATCCGTTGTTGTATTGTCTTAATCTTAGCCTACAGATTGTTGGATATGTTTGAATTAAAGCTAATGCGTCTGTAGAAGAAAGGAATCGCATTTTTGCATGGAAATAGGTTAATGTTAGATTATGATCGTATCAATAGTAAAACTAATGAACACGTTCAAATTGGTCGACCTTGCATATTTCACAAACGATACCGACATTTTGTAGAAAGAGAATTAGGAACATAGCGAGCAGAATCCGACATTTAACATCGATTTTCTCTTAATTTGTGACTAGTCGAGAACGTTGCCTTTTTTGCAGGTTTCCTTTCAAACTTTGAGACATCTAAAAAGAAGTGTATAAGATTCAATTCTTCCTGTCATGAAACGTCTGAACACATTGAAAAGGAAATGAACCTGGGGTCTTGTGAATCAGTATAACATTCAACATTGACGAAGCATATAATTAGTAACACGCCATTTGTATCATTTCAGATGTACCAGTCAACGTAATGGTGTTACAAGAGAGAACGGTCAGTGGAGCAGAAGTTTAAATGATAGCTCTGCCAGCAACCCATTACGTGGCGGTTCTTCTAATGGAAAACAGCATTTGGATCCAGCCTTACAATCAAGGCAACAGGTACATTATTTAGTAGGTACTGTATTCTAACTTCTAGCATGCCACCACGAGGACAAACCAAAGCAGTTCGTCATTGGCTTTTGGCATTTTAATTATGTACAGTTTGTTAAATGTAAGTTTTTGAGTGATTACACGTTTTATCTGTGTTGACATGACTGGGTAAGATTGGACAAATTATCAGACTGACTAAATGAAAATTATACTAATCTGGTACTCCTAAGCAACACTTAGTCCCAATTATATACGTTAGTCAATGTTATGATTAAAGACGTCACAATTATGTTAGTCAATGTTATGATTAAAGACGTCACAATTATGTTAGTCAATGTTAATACTGATCCAAACAACATCGATAAATTTCAAATATTAGCCAAACAATTCTGAATCATAGGTGATTCCCATGACGCGTGTGCTTACCTGCTTCATTGCTTCTATCAGCCCCCACCCCCACTACTCCCTCACCCCACAAACATTCACAAACGCTTTTCTTTTTTTCTTTTTTTTTTAAAAATATGTACGTCCCATAACCGGAAAGTTAAAGCTATCTTAACATTTTGTCCGATTCTTTTTTGATTGTTTATCCCACTTCATGTGATTGGTCCAGGAACCATTTTACCCTGGACGGTAGTTATTATTTAGTATGTTTTATGTAACTTTTGTAGTCACCGTTTTCTTTAAATTACCGTTGACAGTTGTAATTTACAACAACTCCTAAATTAAAAGCTGTCATGTTCCGGTCCCCAGTTCGTCTATAGAAGCAGTATTGCATAATCTGCAGAACGAAATTGAAAAGTCGTATTCTATTGGCTTCATGTGGAAATTAATCTACCATCAGGGAATTCAGTATCTAATAACATAGGTGAACATGAAGAGAACAGGAATAACAATTTATTTTTGGAATATTTCAATATCCGTCCGACATTTTTATTTTTATTTCGTCCTAATTGTTATTGTACACGTGGTGTTCGTATTCGTTTAATAGTGCTTTTGTCTCGAAATATGTAGAACAAACAACGGTGGGTGTTCTTTTATTTTTTTGTTTTGTCTTAAACGTAGAGCAGACATTGTAAACTAGAAGTGTATATGTATTAATTGCTAGTAGTAAGATACCGCTGTATCAATACTATAGGTTGATTTCCAGTGCTAAAATACATTTAAAAAAACACATCATCAGTTCATAGACTCGGGATACACAGGTAGGTTCAGTGACCTACACTGTACCATGGGCGTCATACACGAACACTAAACGTAGAGGGAAACCCAATACATGACAATATTGTGGAATAGGAAAGGCGTCATTTCAATCGTAATATGGCAACCGCATGCATGCAGCGATCAGTTGCTACAATTATGGACAGTTTGCAGATCTTAGTATCCAACGGCAATAATGTCGACAGTGTGAACTGATAAGTTTCAGACACATGTGGAAGTTAAATAACGGAGACTAAGAATACAGCATTAAACGCTTTATTGTCCCACACTAGTTGTGTGCAGAGGCGGCGTCAGACTATTTGCCCCACCCCTTTCCCCTTTTTTTTTTGCCAACTGCCAACCTCCATTTTCTAAATCATTGGGACTGTACAGTGTCGTCCGTTTACTCTTCATGAAATTCACACTGTTCCGCGATTTGTTTTTATGTGCGCTTTATTGCACTAGTTGTGTGCAGAGGCAGTGTCAAACTATCTGCCTCACCCCCTCCCCCATACAATTTTTTTTTTTTTTTTTTTTTTGCCAACCTCCATTTTCCAAATCATTGGGGCTGTACAGTGGTGTCCGTTTACTCTTCATGGAATTCCCACTGTTCCGCGATTTGTTTTTACGTGCGGGCCTATGTGTGTACCCGTATGGGCCTCGTATTTTGTCCACTACCACTCGGGTAGGAAGAAATATTTTTGCGAGGCCCCAGATAAACACAAGATGCAAACACTAAAGTTAAATAGCACAGATGCCCGTCTAAAAATAACGCAATTTCAACACTGAAATCGCTTTGATCTACACATGTCATTTACTTAGCAAACACAATACAAAGGATTATAACAGATCATTTAATAAGAACTTTAAGCTTCGTTAGATTCTGTTAACCGATAATATCTTGATATTTTCAATTCTTTAATTGAGAACCATGTCTATCGATCGTATCTAAGTCGTAAATCTTTATTAATTTCTTTAGTAGATTTACTTTCTCTATTTTATTGGCAAAATTAACAGGAAAAACCTAACGCTACTTGTCAAAAGATCGCAATTGCTTGACAGAACAATAGTAAATGAAAGGCCATCGGCAAACAGATCAATCGTTAAATTTTATTTTGAGGAAATTAAAAAAAAATCTCTTTCACGTATGGTTGACTTTGATGTATTGATTCTAAGCGTGGATTGTTAATGTTCTGGAAAACACGTTCAATTCATTTAAAAGTCAAATTCTTTTAGAAAATACATAGTTCTATCTAAACGATTGTTCCTTGCCAGACCCTCCTGCATTAAAGCCAACTGGATGTTCTTTCCATATAATTATTATAAAAGATACGCGTGATACTTGTGACACTAGGGACAGTTTATATTAAATATTTCCTGTTTAAAATGGAGGGGGGGGGGGTCGGCCGAATGGTATGGTTAGCACGTGCGCCCTGTATCATAAAGCCTGTCATTGTGTCAACTGGCGTGGTTTCGAATCCCCGGTTGTACGTGACAAGGAGTAGGGTCGCCTGTCCAACCTCGTGGGTTTTCTCCGAGTACTCCGGTTTCCTCCCACTGCAAAAGACCCCTACGAGCAAGCGAATTATTGAATTAAAATTAAACCATATGTTAGTCCCGATATGACCTAGTTTGTGTCGAGTGGACGTTAAACCCCATTTCCTCTCCTCTCCTCTGTTTATAATGGGAATTGTGAAAAAACGGGAATATTTATTTAGAGTATAAAGAAACACTTGGTTATCTAATTCATTGCCACATTTCAAGTTATTTCAGTAATACCCAGGTTGGTTAAAATCTTTGAAATTAAAGTGATATCTAGATCTAGGCTATGTACTCATATTCCCGATGCACTGGTAACATGCATTGTCAGCTCATCAACCAATGATGGCATACTCAGTTCGCTAGTAGACCAATCAAAATAGTCGATTTTTTAATGATTGGTTTAACTTCATACTTGTGTTGAATTTCTGTTACGTATGGTAAACCGTTATACATAGCTCTAACGGGCATTGATTAAGCTTTACATGCATGTATAGTTCATTTCAATCCGTGGAGCACTAGCCGAGTCGACTGTAGCAATTTTTAGACGTACACGCAGTGTACATGGATTGACGGTTGACGCAAAAAGCACATTTAGTGGAAAATTATTCGAAACGCCATTTTACCATTTTAAGTCCACAGCAGTCGTTAATGTATTGATAACGCTCGTAACCATTCTTGCAGGAATATTTTAAAAAAAACAATCCAAATGAATATTGATAATATATTGATTTAATCACCGACAAAATGACTCGAATGTTTTTAATAACGTTTTCTGAGGGTGGCCAAGGGATTTCTTTTATGATTGAATTCTTAAAAGGTTACATTTTACTGCCTATTCAATTTCACCCTCAGAATATACCGGAGATTGGAGCTATACAGAGGCCTAAAGACATTTTGTGGCTGTTTTCCTAGCGTTTTAATAATCTGTGTATATTTTATGTATTAGATTATGTTGTCAGATATTAATGGTTGTTACAGATAATAATAAAACTATATCACACTAACGTTCAATTTAACGGCTGACCGGAGAAAATAAAACTTTAACACCGCGGAATTTTTATTACTGTAATAAAGTAACTGTGCAAGTGATAGCCAACAACATGCCGTTCTAATGTTCTATTATTTCTAAATTGCCCATATATCTTAATGTGTCATGACAGTTCACCTAAATCTCTGGTGGTAGGGGGGGGGGCGAACATATTCAACATTTCCGATCGTAAAATTATATAACTATATACATTATTTCTCGATTAATTACGACACCATTAAAAGTAATCGTATATACGATAGTTCCCTCGGAAAATTGTCTTAAGGAAAACATTCCCAAAAATAAAGGCTGCATACAGGGATCGATCTTTGCGTATTGCATCTTATTGCATCTTAGATTGCCTTTGTAAATTGAAACATTACCGTTCAGTTGCAACTATTCTTTTTATAGCGCATCATTATATACCGTTACATTATGTGGTTTTATTACATAATAATGTAATTATTGTAGAGACTAGAAACTATTCACCAACAGTAATCGAGTCATAACCATTTTGAATAATAATGCACGTGCCTTCGGTTTTCTTTAGTTAGGCTATACCTTTTAAAATCAATCAAGTTTGTTCATCATCAATTTAAAAGAACTGATAATCAAGTTATTATTTATAATTGTATAATTTTGTATGATTACAGGTAATAAAGATGTTGGTGGTAATAATCACAGTTTTTCTCGTCAGCTGGGGTCCGAAGTTGGTGTTCCATGTACTTAAAAAGTATCGTATATTCAGCTTCTATTCATCGGGTGTATTTGTAGCTATAGTAAGTATGGATTTTATTCTTTAAAAGAGAACCTTTGTTAGTTTTCATCTCAAATGATATAGGTACAACTCTGATTTTGCTAACAACGCCCACCTGTAGTCAAGGGAAAGTATATAAAATAAAATAAGTTTTAATATCCTACATGTCTGCAACATTTGAAAACCGGAAATTTTTGCTCGGACGGCGGCTTTTCTGCACACTCTGTCGATTTCTCTCACTGCTTCTGTTACGTGCGCACCAAAGTGTGCGACTAGACGTTTTTCCTTACCGCCCTGCACAACTAACAAGGCCAAACTACGCTGAAAATCCGATGTACTTCGTACATGAGTCAGCCCCTTACTCACTGAGCCACCACCGCTCCTTGTGTTATACTTTTCTCTACAAAACGTTCGACGACTTCGCAAGTTTTATTTAAAAAAAAAACCTCTGATGCTATTGGGCACAGCGTTGTTCGCGAAAGGGACATATATGACCCGATACTATTGACCTCAGACACCTTGAACAGGAATCACGGGGGCTTACATATCAAAGTCACGGATGGAAAACGAGAATGTATTCCTATTCACATCTTTGTGATAGAAATTAACTTGTATGAGGAGGTGGCAGCTTATAAATGGCCTTTACAGTAAAGGTCATTTCCGGTTAGCGTGCAAGGTTTGAAAAAAAAAATGATCAACCAAGAATGTTGTAGGTGGAAGAATGGTATTGTACTGTCACGTGATATCTGTGAGTTTCATACTTCACACATTACTGGGTTCAATGGAAACATGATACAAAAGAAAATAAATTAGAACTGTAATTTCTTTTTTAGTACTTGTTAATTTATTTTCAAATCAACCGATCAATGATTCAGTTACACTGTGATTAAAATCAATACAGACGTTTACTGTGATTAAGTTTGGCATTGTCCTTTTAAATCTAAATATATATTAAAGATGGGAATAAGTACTTAAAACCCTCTGAGTGACTTAATGTGTTTCTCTACCTTATTAAGCAAATGCATTTTTTTCGCCAAGGAAAGAAATTCGTTCAGAAGAGATTATAGTTTGAGTGTACTTGACTTACTGAACTAGTTGCCGACAGAAATAGGACGAACCGGAAGTCAGGGATAGCTTGCAGAATTAAAAGTCAATAATGCGTTAACATTGCTCTAGATATAAGAGTGGAAGAAAATGGTGGTAAATCTTTTTCTGGTTTGGTACTTTAACAAATTCAAATTTCTAGGCCGATTATTAATCATTGCATTTAGTTTGTTTTCGATCTTTGGTGAAGGTTCGAACTTTATCCATCTTGCATATAATATTATAATAGATAGTATTACAATGTACGTCATAAACCGATATCAAATCGTCTTTAACGTCCTACTGTTTGTTCTGCGTCGACCATGAAGACGGGCATAGGCCATACAGTGTTCTATGAGGGAAATTTTGCCCGGACAACGGTGCTATGGCCTACTCTTATATCCAATTCCAACTGCCAGTGGTTCTTTTACTTACAAGCTAATGTGTACACAGGACCTCGGTTTTGCACCACTGTCAAAGAGGAACCACGCTGGAAAATCCCGATGACTTTTCTCGGTCAACACCGGGGTCGAACACGGGAGCCCCAGGTTAGAGAGCCAACGCAGTACTCACTGAGCCACTGCGGATCTCTGGACATGAACCAGACAGACGCTGAAAACGGAGGCATCCTATAGTTCGAAAAGAAATGTTGATACATGTCCACCCAAAACCAGAACTGCGTTTGAATGGAAATTAGATTACCCGTTTTCACATCTTAAAGAGTTCATGGTATCAGCTTAGATTATTTCGTTTGATTTTACATCGAGATTAGAAGGTTATGTTTCATTAGATATTTTTAAAAAAAAGAAACAGACTTTAACTCATAGTGCACCACGATTTTAGTAATTAAACTGTTTAACGGACTTCTGTCATGTTGTCGAGTTATCAGGAACTTCAATTTTGATAATTCAATTCTTTTAATATATAGACATGCCATAGAGTTGTTATGTAAGCGTGACGTAAAACGAAGGATATAATAATTTATGAAATAATACACGATGTTCGACTACTCCATAAATCTGTCATCGTTGTATGATTTCGTCTAGGGATGTGACAGGAAGGAGAATATTCTGCCATCAAGGATTTGACAGAGAATATTATCTTGCATCTTATTATCTTCTCGGTTCGTTTAAAACTGACAGATTGATTATACATACACAATCAATGAGTGGAATTAAGCATTCCATATTTATAGTCTTATCTCGTTTAGATATAATTAGTACGATTATCATACTGGGTTCCTGCCATATACACACGAATAAATATACTAGCACTCTAGTACGAAACAATTTTTATCTACTACATATCAACCCTTATGTTTTGCTATAATCATAATATCCTAAATTCAATCAAAATTATGACAATTTTTATATTCGGCACACAGCGATAGTAACAGTACTATTTTGATAACCTTTACGATTAAGAAAGTAGTATATAATTCATTAACACGAAAACCTCATTGATTCCACAACCTAGAAATACTATCTGTAACAGTAACTGCTACTGGGTGAAGGTTAGTGCCCGCTCCTATCTAAGATGATATCGCTGCCAAACAGTAACACTAATTGCTTTTTGACAAATCGTCGTCCGAAAAGATCGTGTGATTATGGGTAGAGTTGTCTCTGCATGTTAAGGATTCCCTGTGTTCAGATTACTCAAGCGGTCATTCGGTTGCAATCATGTACAGCTATAAGATATTTGGATTATAAGCTTTTCTTATGCAAATGTTGATCCGTAACATTCTAATTTTCTGACGGAGTACTTTTAAAAAAAGTTTAAAACCATAGACCAAATAGGATAAGGAACACGTGTCATAGTCTTATAACCAATAAATTACCAGGGGCGCCGATTCGTCAGGTTGAAGTTATTGGTCGAGCTTGAGGTATTGTGAGCTATCTATTTTACAGTTACGAGTAAGATTACATAATTTAATAGTCAGTAACCCCAAGTATTACATTGTACCGAACATTAAAGTAACGGATAATCAAATATTTCGGAGTCATTACAGGCTACAGTTTGAATGTTAGCTTTGAGGGAGAGTTCTCAGTTATCTTTCTAATGTTATTCACGTTTCTTACCGCTGCCAGTCGCCATTCTGATTTACAAAATGGATATTAGAGAGATATGAATGATCAACACCATTATTAATTGGCTCTTTATATTTATATACTGTTATTTGCATTAAGCCATTCTCGTGACTTGTCCAACATAATGATATTATATTAGAAGAACACTAAATCAGCAGAAATACATTTGTAAATCATGAATGGTAACAAAGTTAACCTGATAGGTCACGGCTATATATTATAGAAATAACAACCCAGGCCACTTTATTAGTGCATTTTGTAGATGTTAAATAGTATAAATAATATCTATATCATTAATGTGATTGACACTCACAGCAGCTCAGATCACTTAATGTACTTACAACAAGCTGTTAAATTACTTATTTTTCGGTATGTGGTCATTTTATGGGCAGTTCTAGAACTAGAAATAGCCATAATATGCCCAGTAGTCTGTTAATTTAAATCCGCATTGCTATGTCACGTGGGGGGTTGGATGGCTGAATGGTTAGCGTGCGCGCGCTGTATCATAAAGTCTGTCATTGAGTCGACTGGCGTGGTTTCGAATCCCCGGTTGTACGTGGCAAGGAGTAGGGTCGCCTGTCCAACCTCGTGGGTTTTCTCCGGGTCCTCCGGTTACCTCCCACTGCTAAAGACCCCTACGCGCAAGCGAATTATGTAAATAAAATTAAACCATATGTTAGTCCTGAAATGACCTAGTTTGTGTCGAGTGGACATTAAACCCCATTTCTCTCTCTCTCTCGCTATGTCACGTAGGGAGGAGGGGGGTGGCTGAATGGTTAGCGTGCGCGCGCGCTGTATCATAAAGTCTGTCATTGAGTGGACTGGCGTGGTTTCGAATCCCCGGTTGTACGTGACAAGGAGTAAGGTCGCCTGTCCAACCTCGTGGGTTTTCTCCGGGCCCTCCGGTATCCTCCCACTGCTAAAGACCCCTACGCGCAAGCGAATTATTGAAATAAAATTAAACCATATGTTAGTCCCGAAATGACCTAGTTTGTGTCGAGTGGACGTTAAACCCCATTTCTCTCTCTCTCTCTCGCTATGTCACGTGGTGCATATGCGTACAAAAGCACGAGCCTCGCTATAACTAGCCACAGACAAGCATATATTCTCCATTGACTTTAACTTTAGTATTCTCTTTGATCGACTGAAAATTTCCCCCAAAATTTCTTTATAGTTTTCTACCACAAATGAAGCAACACATGGCAATGTGCCCACCATGGAAATCTCGAGATGTACAAACTGACAGTAGCATACTAGTAAACTTTTAATAATCCGCCGTACATTTTAACGTGGCCAACCCCTTAAAGCGAGAATTATTTCTATGTCTTTTGCTCATTAGGTTGTCAACTCACTATTATAGGATCATACACTGTAAAAAATATCCATTTTTTATGTGGCCGAATTCCGTAATTTAACACCTTTTTTCTGTTAATCGATGGATTTTTTGGATAAATTGTGTTAATAGTGTGAATTATTTCTTCAAATTACGTGTTTTATGTATTTCTGTGGAATATTCAGTATTAAACAGGAAATTTCCGTGAAATTTAGGGATAAAATGTTTTATTCCCTTCTATAATGGACTTAATTCTGTTATTTTACGGAATAAACGGTGGAATGACAAGGAAGTTCCTTGAAATTTAGGGATAAAATGTTTTATTCCGTTCTGTAATGGACTTAAGTCTGTTATTTTACGGGATAAACGGTGCAACGATAAGTAATCGTATACATATATAATCATTCATTTCAATTTATTAACCATAATATGATGAATCATATTTTGTAAAGTTTGGTATATTAATTGTCATGTTTATCTAATTTCCATTATTATAAGATCTATAAAGTGTATTGTGAT